TACTTCCTCTCCTCTAACATTCCATCTGTAATTCTCGGAGACTTCAACAGTCCCCTTCTATTTTCTCTTTACACTGCCTCTCTTGGCAAACTTATTACCTCTTTCGGATTCCAATACCACCTGTATGCTGATGACACCCAGATATATCTCTCCTCCCCGGACCTCTCCCCTGATGTCCTGCAACGTGTCACCTCTTGCCTTTCTTCTATCTCTGATTGGCTGTCCTCCCGCTTTCTGAAACTGAATCTTTCCAAAACAGAACTTCTTGTCTTTCCTCCTCCTAATATTAATCCTCCTCTCTCGCTCTCCCTTCAGATTGGTGGAATCCATATCAGCCCATCCTTACAAGCACGTTGTCTTGGTGTTACTTTTGATTCTGGCCTCACCTTTGAGCCTCACATCCAGTCTGTTGTCTAATCATGCCACTCCCACCTCAAAAACATCGCCCGCATCCGCCCCTTTCTTACACAAGATGCTACTAAAGAGCTTGTCCATGTCCTTTTAATCTCTCGCATGGACTATTGTAACTCTCTCCTAATTGGTCTTTCCAATAGCCGTATTGCCCCGCTACAGTCTGTAATGAATGCTGCCGCCAGACTGATTTTCCTCTCTAGTCGGTCCTCTCACACCTCACCCCTCTGTCAGTCCGTACATTGGCTTCCTGTATCCTATAGGAGTCAATTCAAAGTGCTAACCCATACCTATTAGCCCATCTTATATCTCCTCATAGATCCATTGGTATGCCCCTTCTCGGTCTCTCCGCTCTGCCTGTGACCTTCTTCTGTCCGTTGCTCGCACCCATACAACCAACTCGCGCTTGCAGGACTTCTCGCGGGCAGCTCCCTTCCTATGGAATAGCCTGCCTATCGCCATCAGATCCTCCCCTAGTCTTCAATCATTTAACCCATTTCTTTAGGATAGCCTATGGCCTCCCAGACTACCTCACATACCTGTCTCTTGCTCTCTCCTAAAGGGCAGCACTTTTCTCTCAACTCCAGCTCTGCTTAACTCCTACCTAATTTGACTGCAATTTCCTGTCCTAATGTGTTTTATACCCCACCTCCTATAGACTGTAAGCTGGTTCGAGCAGGGCCATCTTCAACCTATCGCTTCTGTAAGTTTTCTTGTAATTGTCCTATTTATAGTTAAATCCCCCCCCTCTTATAATATTGTAAAGCGCTACGGAATCTGTTGGCGCTATATAAATAGCAATAATAATAATAAAAAGCGATTGTAAGAGACGTTCTGACTAACAAACTGATTCCATCTCAGTTATACTTTCCCACAAATACCCTGATTTCTGAAGAAAATATGACTGCAATGGTTGATGATAATTGCAATTTTACCATTCCGGCCACGGTGTCCTTGGTTTTCTATGCTATGGAGAATTGCAGTGGAACCTCCGTGGGAATTACCAATAACTTCAGATCTTCTCTTTCAAGGGACAGTTCTTTGTCCTTATTTTGCCTATTTCAAGTTGACAGCATGGAAACTGAGTAGATATATATATACGTATAAAATTCAAAAATAAATAAATAAAATAAATAAAATATTGAAACAAAATTTAATATAAATTATATATTCATATGTAATTTCATTCTAACTGTATTTTGTTATTAATATATATATTGGTAACAAAATACACTTAGAATGACATTCTATATATATCTATCTATATATAAAATACAAATAACCGCAAATATATATATATAGATAAATGCATATAATTACATAAAAAATTACATTAGCATACACGTAGAATTTAAATACCTATAAATGCATATATATTAAAATTCTACGTGTATATTTAAGTAATCTTTTAACTTAATTATGTGATTTGATTAATTAAAATTTGATTGACATGCCTGACAACACAGGGAGAAAGTGCAGAGAATTTAATTCGCAAGCACTATATTTGACCCATTAACTCTCCAAGACACCATAAAACCTGTACATAGGGGGTACAGTTTTACTCAGGAGACTTCGCTGAACTGAAATATTAGTGTTTCAAAATGATAAATTGTATTACAACGATGATATTTTAAGTAAAAGTGACGTTTTTTGCATTTTTTACAAACGAACGGCACTTTTATGGACTATATTATTGTTGTAATATGTTTTACTGTTTTAAAACACTAATATTTGTGTTTAGCGAAGTCTCCCGAGAATAACAGTACCCACCATGCACAGGTTTTATGGAGTTTTGGAAATTTAGACAGTCACATGTAAGGCTTGCATTTCATTTTTTTGACATTGAAATTTGCTAGATTGGTTATGTTGCCTTTGAGAGTGTATGGTAGCCCAGGAATGAGAATTACCCCATGATGGCATACCTAGTGCAAAAGAAGCCAACCCAAGGTATTGCAAGTGGGGTATGTCCAGTCTTTCTTAGGAGCCACTTAGTCACAAACACTGGCCAAATATTAGTTTTTTGCTTTTTTCACACAAAAACAAATATGAACGCTAACTTTGGCCAGTGTTTGTGACTAAGTAGCTACTAAAAAAGACTAAACATACCCCACTTTCAATACCTTGGGTTGTCTACTTTTTCAAATGGTATGCCATTATGGGGTAATTCTCATTCCTGGGCTACCACACCGTCTCAAAGGTAACATTACTAATCTAGCAAATTTCAATTTGAAAATGGAACGTTCTATATTTGACCCTGTAACTTTCCAAAACACCATAAAACCTGTTAATGGGGGGGTACTGTTGTACTCGTGAGACATCGCTGATTACAAATATGTGCATTTTTTTGCAGTAAAATCTAACAGTATTATGACATTAAGAGCTAAAATGTCAGACGGAAATACAAATTTAAAAAAAAAATTCTTATTTTCTCACATTTTTTTAAATTTTATTCATAATAAATTATGTTCCATATATGAATAGTTAATGATAAATTAAAGCCCTTTTTCTCCTGAACAAAATGATATATAATAAGCGTGGGTGCACTTAATGTGACAGTGGTGAATTACGGTTGAACAGACATATAGCGCAAATTCCAGTTTTTGTTTACCTTTTGTTTTGATCAGAACGTGTACTATTGACTCTGTCCTGAAGGGGTTAAAAAATAATTTATACAAATGAGTTTATAGAGATAATTGTTTAAGAGGCCATCACCAAGTCTAGAGCCGCTGCTGCACAGAGGGGAAGCAGAAAGGAATACCTGCCTCCCACTAGACACTAGGGACCCTGGCCTCCTTTCCTCCTCCCAGTGTTCATGACAGCAAGGATTGTGTGTATGTGACACTGAGAGAGAGAGAGAGTGTGTGTGTGTGTATGACTGACACACAGAGCCGTCTTTAACACGGGGAAAGAAGGGCAGCTGCCCCGGGTCCAGTCAGTCTTAGGTGCCCAAAGCAGCTGCCCCTTTAGCCCTCCGGCTGCCGTGGTGCATGCGGCCCGTGTGGAACTACCACGTGGGCCACGTGATGTGGAGGCTTATCGGGTGGCCAATGCTCCAAAGGGCCACCCAATAGCGATGGATTTTAAGGGGCCCGGCCGCTTTGAGAGCGCGACCGAGCCCCCTGTGATGATGTCAGGATGCTGGGAGGAAGTGACAGCCGGTCACTTCCTCCCAGCATTCACCGAGCGCCGCGCAGGAGGAGAAGAAAAGGAGGGAGTCAGAGTGGGTGCTCTGACTCCCATCAGCCTGAGCCAGCCTCCTGCACTCCAAAGGTAGGAAACACATAAAAAAAAATGTGCATGTATATATGTATATCTGTATGTATGTCTGTATGTGTGTGTCTGTATATATATATGTTTGTTTCAATGTATGTGTAGAATATTGCATATTCTATGTTTCTATTGATTATATATATATGGATGTGTGGATTGACATAAGTAACAGATGGTATCAATAAGTCACAAGGCTTTCTTTGTCCGAGAGCTCTGGAATGTGGGTGTGGGGGTCTTGTCCTTATATGGCTAGAGTTATATGCTGACGTTAGTATTAGCACATCTATATAGTAACAGAGGGACATGAGGTCGCGCGTAGTCTCACTCTTGGCTTGGCTCTGTACAACGATGTAACTCTCCCATCAGAAGTACAGCAATTACCATCTGCTGTTGAATGTCCATTATCCTGTAACATCATTTGTTGTTTTATGTATCCGTAACTAAGAATAAACCTGAAGAAACCGTAAGTCAGATTGCGTATTACTACTTTTCAATAATATAGACATATATTAGTGTGGCGAGCATTTGGCCCAAGAATATATATACAAAAGACATATATATATCAATCAACTGAAGACAAGAAGAAATTAAGAAAGAGTCTACATTAACATCCATTCATCTAGTTTTTTACATTGGCTAGCCAGCCAGTCTTCTATTCAAAGTTTTGTTCCCACTTCAAGGGGGGAGAGAGAAGAATCGAGTTACAAAGCTATTTTGGAACTGGGAAAACAAACTTGAAGAGAAAAAAAGAATCTAGACTGAATCATAGAAGAACTGTGGTTTGTAAGAAAAATAGAGTTTTCAAATCATAAAGACTGTACAAGACTATTTTCTACAACTGAGACAAAAAGCACAAGATACAACGTGAATTCTAGAAGCAAGCACGTGGCAGAGATTGGCACGCGTCCAGAATCAAGCGTCCAAGCAAAGAACTGCGCAGCTGTGTGGATGCACATGTTTTTTTGTTTTAATGTAGGTAAAGCGTGACAGATCCTTGTGGCAATAAATCAGGAAAGTATTCCTTCAGACAACTGGACATCGACTGTTGGAAAGAGACTTTTCATCTGATCTGCAAACTGTGATGGAAGATTCTACAGAGTTCATTCGATACAGAAGATTAACAGACTTACAAAGAAATAAAAGATTGGCACTAACATACATATATATTCCTAAATATTAATGAAGAAAACAGACAATGAAAAGTTATTTAACAGTTATGAGTATTAATACCAAGAGAGACTACTTATAACTATATAAGACATGGAGTAAAATTATTAATGGATGGTATTATGAAGAGAACTATTACATTATTACCTATACATAGAATGAGAAGTATCAGAGGAAGATAAAATATGAAGTCGATAAAATAAGGATCATGGTTACTTAATACCACAAAGATTGAGTTCAATAGTATTTCATAGATTAACTATAATGAGTAATTTGTTTATATCGAGGTGAAGTAAAACAAACAATGGTAACATAAGGAAGAAAACTAAGGAAGAATAATTTATATTGATTTATATTAAGTAATGTTATACATTAAGAAGGCCTTGGATATAAGAGTTCAGAGATCCAAGAGGAATTGAATTTAATGGAAAGAGTATAGTACACAATTATATTTGACCTAAGTCTATAAAGGTATGGACTAGGGAGAATAGGTTTCTGGATATGGTGATATCCAATGAATTGAATATGTTGTTAAGTTGTTTTATGATTTCCCTGAGTTTGTTAGACACAGACTAGGAATAAGAGTTTCTGGGCAGTATGACCCCAAGTTTATTTTTGTTTATTTTATTTTAGTCAGTTGAAGTGTACTAAGGAATATGGATTGGTCATAACATTAGGACAATCCTGCTTTTAAGATGTATTACATTAATAAGTCATCACAATTAAGGTCTAATGAGGAGAGTGATGATAATTAATTTAAAGTATTCTTTCCAAGTTCTTTTAAAGTAAACCATTCTCCGATTGAATTTAAAGTTTGTTACTACAAGGTGGAATTTTAGTCAAAATTATAATAATGTGAACAAAAACAAATCTATGATAGAAAGATTTCTGGGTGGAGAATATCTAGGACAATAAGTATTGTCAACACCATGAACATTATTTGAAGAATTATTATAGAACTTCATGGTTGATAACACATCCTTTGAATGAGACTTATAAGTAGTGTTGATATATTTTAGGTAGTTAGAGCCTACTGAATATACAAATTAAATACTATGATTGTAAAGTACTGGTACAATCATCACTAGGTGGTATTAATGGTATAGGAATGCAATTCTTGAATACAAATGACCTAAAGATTTTAAGGTTGCTAGAAACCATATGATTCATGGAAATATAAGTGCACGGATATACAAGCAATACATGTATTAGTACTTAAGTAATATCAGGTATTGAGAATGAAAATACTATGCTATATGTGTCTGTAGGAATATGATAGTGATACACAGTTATTATTATTTAGAAAGTTATCATCTTGATTTTGTTATCTACAAAGATATGACTGTACCTGAGCAGGTAGATCTTTCTGATTGCTTTATTGTTTATTGGATCAACATTTGTAAATATTTTATTTTATTCATTTATTATTGTTATATGTATATATTATGTTCAAGTAGTTATGATGTAACATGGATATGGATATCAATACATAGCTGAAACAGAGGGAGTTTTGAAGTAAAGTAAGCAGTATGAGGGATAGAAACTCGACCTTCTAAGAACTCTCATATAATAGAAAATTGTGACTACATCTTGTTCTATGCTCAATGAATGTGATACAAGTGATGTATGAATGGACAGGTTAGTGACATTGTGTTATGGTTTTAAAACAAACCATAAACAGAGGGAATGTAGAATATTGCATATTCTATGTTTCTATTGATTATATATATGGATGTGTGGATTGACATAAGTAACAGATGGTATCAATAAGTCACAAGGCTTTCTTTGTCCGAGAGCTCTGGAATGTGGGTGTGGGGGTCTTGTCCTTATATGGCTAGAGTTATATGCTGACGTTAGTATTAGCACATCTAGATAGTAACAGAGGGACACGAGGTCGGTCTCACTCTTGGCTTGGCTCTGTACAACGATGTAACTCTCCCATCAGAAGTACAGCAATTACCATCTGCTGTTGAATGTCCATTATCCTGTAACATCATTTGTTGTTTTATGTATCCGTAACTAAGAATAAACCTGAAGAAACCGTAAGTCAGATTGCGTATTACTACTTTTCAATAATATAGACATATATTAGTGTGGCGAGCATTTGGCCCAAGAATATATATACAAAAGACGTATATATATCAATCAACTGAAGACAAGAAGAAATTAAGAAAGAGTCTACATTAACATCCATTCATCTAGTTTTTTACAGAGCCTCACATCCAGTTTGTTGCCAAATCCTGTAGGTTCCGACTTAAAAACATAGCCCGCATCCTCCCCTTTCTTACACAAGATGCTACCAAGGAGCTTGTCCATGCTCTAGTAAGTTCCTGCATGGATTACTGTAACCCTCTCCTAATTGGTCTCCCCAAAAGCCGTATTGCCCTACTACAGTCTTTAATGAATGCTGCAGCTAGACTGATTTTCATCTCTAGTTGGTTCTCTCACACCTCACCCCTCTGCGAGTCCTTACATTGGCTCCCTGTATCCTATAGGAGTCAATTCAAAGTACTAACCCATACCTATAAAGCATTGCAATTCTAGTCCTCCTTATATTTCTTCACAGATCCAGAGGTATGCCCCTTCTCTTTCTCCCCGCTCTGCCCGTGACCACCTCCTGACCACTGCTCGCACCCGTACGGCCAACTCGCACTTGCAGGACCTCTCGCGGGCGGCTCCTTTCCTATGGAATAGCCTTCAGACTCTCCCCTAGTCTTCAATCATTTAAGAAGGGCCTTAAAACCCATCTCTTCAGGAAAGCTTATGGCCTCCCAGAGTAACCTCTACCTTACATACCTGTCTCTTGCTCTCTCCTATAGGGCAGAGCTTTACTCTCTAGTCCAGCTCTGCTTTACTCCCACCCTATTTGACTGATATTTCCTGTCCTAACATGTCTTATACCCCACCTCCTACAGACTGTAAGCTCATTTGAGCAGGGTCCTCTTCAACCTATTATTCCTGTTAGTTTTCTTGTAATTGTCCTATTTATAGTTACATCCCCCCTCTCATAATATTGTAAAGCGCTACAGAATCTGTTGGCACTATATAAATGGCAATAATAATAATAATCACTATAATCACCGGCTCTTGCAAAGCAGCACTTATTTTGCTGTCTGTGCAATTTTTAGGGGTTAATTTTTTTGTGTGCTTTTTTGTGTGTGACAGATCACTAAATAAAGTGATTGTGATCATGTCACAGAGGTCGTATAGCGCTGAGGAGGTGTATGTCATCCTTGTGTTAGATTCTGATGCGTTTATGTCTGACTCTGACCCCGATTTTGACCCTGCCAGGGGCTCAGATACATCACTAGATACAGTGCTAGTGATGTTTCTAGTTATGATGTATCGGTGGCTAGTCCCCCTGCCAGAAGGAAACGTGCTGCTCCAGCTGGCAGTACTGCTGAGGAGTGGGTAGTGCCTCATCGCCAGAGTCCAGATATCCCACCCTTCATTGCAAATCCTGGCATCAATTTGGATGTCGCAGGATTTAGCCCTGTTTATGGAGTTGTTTATGGGTGATGATGTATTGGGGAACATTGTTGCCCAAACTAAGTTATATGCTAATCAGTTACATGTTGCAAAGCCTGACTCTTTTTTGTCAAAGTAGTAATGGGCCCCCATCGAGAGGACTGTGGAGGTGTCTGTACGTGGCAGAGCAGAGAGCACAAGGAAACCAGTGTGCATCAAGGAGTATAACGGGTATATGGGTGGGGTTGATCTGACAGATCAGCTGCTGCAGCCCTACCTAATTATACAGAAGACAAGGGCCTGGTACAGAAAGGTTGCAATCTACTTAATGCAGATTTCAACCCTCAATTATTTTTTGTTGTGCAAAAAAGCAAACCCCGGAATGCAACTGACTTTTTTGCAGTTTCAGCTGTTTCCAGATCATTTCAGGGATTTTGTCCCTGGGCGTTGGGGCTACACATTTTATTCTTAACACCCTCCCTTACTGTGCAAAGCAGAATCCCCCCAAAAAGATGCAGAGTCTGTTTTAAGAGGGGGCCCGGGACAGCCTGGACTCTGCATTGGGGACTGCTTGAAACGATACCACACACTAGTCCATTTTTTGTAAAAAAAGATTTAACATTTGCCATTCAGTTTTTTTTTTAGTTTTTTTGATTACTTTTACCCTATGTATGGAGGACATGGGTGTACTCAGGAGGCCTTGCAGAAAACAACCTGGAGTCACTGTCAAAAAGCAATGTGTGTGTAAACAATTTAAAAAATTAAAAAATTACCACCACACACTTTCTCCAATTTTTGGGGATAAAACGGTTGCATCAAAGGCATCAAAGCTCTCCATGAAAAATACCTTGGGGTGTCTTTGTTTCAAATATTTGCATGCTTTCATGGCAATAAATAAAACTAGGGTACATGAGAAGCCCCAAACTAAAAATAGGCCTATCAGAAGAAATACTCTAAATTTCAACTCAAATTACAAGTCATACAATTGTAACTGAACCTTCGCAAAATCCTGGCAAACCTATGCATGGGGGACATGGTTGTACTCAAGATGGCCTTGCAGAAAACAACATTGAGTATTTTCTTGCAATAACCAACAACAGGCTCCCCTAAATCACACACAAATGTGTGTGTAAAAAAATAAAAAATAAAAATTTCCAGCACACATTTCCTCCAATTGTTTGACTAAAACAATTGCATCAAAGGCATCAAAACACTCCATATGCAATACCATAGGGTGTTAACTTTTGAAATATATGCACGCTCATGGCAAGAAAATAAATTGGGATAACTAAAAAGGCTCCCAAAAAGAAGATAGGCAAAGAAGATATGTCAAATTTGAAAAAACACATTTCAGAAGTTCGGCAATGCACCCCCCCCCCAAACAACCCAACAAACATATGCATAGGTGGTATCACTGTACTCAGGAGATGTTGCTGAACACATATCGGGGTGTTCTTTGGCAGTAACACCTAACAGAAGCTGAAAATTCAAGAGAATTCATGCCTAAAGTAGAATGTGTGTAAAAAATAACACAAAAAAAATGACTACCTAAATGTTTGACAAAGATTGGTGGTAGAATTAGTGCATGGAAAGTGTTAAAATACCACCATTTGAAATACCCTAGGGTGTCTAATTTTTAAAAATATATGGTTTGATGAGGGTAAATTACATTGACCGGCTTCAAAAATGTCCCAAATGGGACATGGGTGCATTATGACCTGCTGTGAAAATTCCAAGTTGGAAAACTGGAATGTGCACCTTCCAAATAAGGCCTTTTAGCCCCAGAGAACCCGACACACCTATACATGGGTGGTATCACTGTACTCGGGAGATGTTGCTGAACACATATTGGGGTATTCTTTGGCAGTAACCCTTAAAGTTCTCAGTACATGTGTTCAGAAATTGTTTTATGTGTCTTTAGAAAGACCATTTAATGGTGAGAAAAATGGTATATAATATGTGTGGGTAGAGTAAATGAATAAAAGGAGAATTATTGTGGCGTGATGTCAGGAAGATCGTGCACGCGCACGCCGTAAGGGGAGTAGACAACGCCCGCGGAGAAGCGGTAACCGAAGGTCTGGCGGGTGAGAGGAGCGGTGTGATAGAAAAGAAGTGAGCGAGGAGGAAGTTTGACAAAAGTGGATTTGTAGATATCGCCACAAACAATCGCACTGAGCTTGGTAATCGGATTCGCCGGAGAAGCTAGATAAGTAAAAAAAAAAAGGAGAAAAAACAAGTGAATAACAACCTAAGCCAAGTACATCTATTGCAGGGGTATGTCAGCTGGTATATATACCGCTGAACTGCAGAGACGTTGATAAGACGTTCATGATTTAAGTTTGCAAGCTGTAAAATGTAAATCTGTTAAACCTAATTTGTATATTATATATTTTTCCTGTTAGACCTTAGCAGCAATCCATTAAATATATTTCCTGTTAAGGAAAACATTGATATAGGATAAAAAAGGAAGAGAAAAAAGAAAAGAAAAATAATAAGGGAAAGACAAGACTGGACTATGATAATCAAATAATATGGGTCTGGCAATATTAAAAGCTGAATTTTTCCTCAGGGAAACAATACAAAGCACCACCTGTAAAGTAATTAAGTGCAATATATTGAACTAGCACTGTGAAAGGTGGGTAAAGGAGAGATAGATTAAAAGAGGTATAAATGGCATAAAAATAGCACAAGAACATAAAACAACTGCAAAATCTGATAACGGGCAAAAAAATGAAAAAAGGCTCTCAACATTCTTTTCTCCACATGCAGGTAAAGAAACATCAGAGATTTCAATAATGGAACTTTCTCAATCTACCGCAACGCCTTCTCCCAAAATATTTCCAGACAAAGAGTCTGTCTCCTTACTGGAATTAAAAGCCTGCTTGGAAGAAGCTGTAAAGGATATAAAAAGGGAACTCACAGAAAAATTCTTAGCTATAAAGTAGGATATTGCAACACTAGAAAGCAAAATGCAAAATATGGAAAGCAGAGAAGAAATAAGAGATCTTCAAATGAAAGAGTTAAAAGAATCACATAATAAGACTATAATAAAATTAAAAGAAATGGAAGATAAAGTCTGTATAATGGAGGACAGATCAAGAAGATGCAATCTGAGGATCAGAAATATTCCTGAGGAAGTAACAGATAACAAATTACGAGAATTTTTCGGAACCTACATGGATCATATAGGAATACAGATGAGACAACTAGAGTTACAAA